CCTCTCACCTCTCAGCGCCCGTGTGCGCCCCAGCCTGCCTGCTTAACGCAGCGTCGCAAAGCAAAGCAGCAGCGTGGCCGCATTGCCTGCGCAGGCCAGAATGCCCCTGCATGGGCAGGGCACTTTCCTTTACGGACAGTGTGGCCCTGTGTCTGCCTGTGTGGGCCTGGCTGGGCAAGTTTCCAGTAGCTTCCAGTTGGGCCCCTGTGCCTGCGCCCAGGCACAGTTTCAGATACTGGCCTGGGCCCCATACAGTTAGGCACGTCCAAGCAGCTCCCCAGGCTCCAAGTGTTCGGAGCGATCTCATTGGCTCGTAGCATGTGTGTGACGCTGGAAATGCTTTCTCATTGGTCCGTGGCCTCTACGTGATGTGTGGGCCTCTCACTGCGTGTGCCCAGGGCGCAACCACCTGAGCCCTGGGCTGAAATGTATGGCGTAGCTACTGCTTCTGGAAGGAGCCAGGAAAGGCTCACGTTGCTCGGTAACCAACTGGCATGCTGTAACTGTCTGGTAACCCACATACAGAAAATGGTGAAAATAGGCCTCTCGTGTATGTTGCCCTCCTTCACTTACGGTGGGCACGTGGTGTGTTCGGGCCCGCAGCCCAGAACATTTGCATGCCCGAGACGGGCCTCGCAAGGGCTCAGTCCTCGCATTCGATCCCCCTTAGCTTCGAAAGTCCGCTGAGATGCTTTTACACAGGTGCTTTCCCCTTCAACTTTCGTTCATACTCTGCCACGATCTGAGGTGCTGTTCTGTCGAGCTCCTCTCTTGTGAACCATCGATCTTCTTTTGGATCTGTATGATGCCTGAACCTGACCCGGTACTCCCTCATAGGTTTTGGCGGTCTTCCCCTGCCCACAGGCTTGGGAACAGGCAAGCCTCTGTGTTCCAGAATGTCGTCGACGTCCACACGGCCATCCATGGTTGGGGGCAGCATTGATCTTCTGGAAGGGAACTGATCAGTCTCACCGAAAGGTGCAAGCTTGGAAGCATGAAATACAGGGTAAGTGCACAGATGACCAGGGATTCTTATCATATAGGAGGGACCATCCAACTCGCTACCCACGATATCCAGAACTTCCCATGGGCCGAAATATTGGGGCATTGGTTTTCTAGAGATACTGAATTCCTGTCCCAGATCACTAGCCTTTACCCAGACACATTCCCCTACCTGAAATGTGGAGTGTCGTCTGTGCTTGTTCTCAGAGGCAATCATTGCCTCCTGATATTTTCTGATGTGCTCGACAGCCTGCTGCAACAGCTTCTCATACTGGACACCAAATTCTATGGTTCCAGGCATTGCAGCTGGTCGGTTTCATGAAGGAGGACGTCTAGTGCAGATCTAGTCTTACAGCACAAATGCAGCTCATTGGGACTGACACCGGTGGTGCTGTGTACAGCGTTGTTGTAGAGGCTGGCAATGAGAGGCAATTTCTCATCCCAGTCATCCTGGTTGAGCTTGATGTAATGCCTCAGCAAATGCTGCACCTCACGGTTCATCTGCTCCACTTGGCCGTTGGCTTCGGGGTGATTCCGCGAAGTCATTTGGAGTTGGCTGCCCGTCTGTTCAGCAGCCTTCTCCCACATTTCGCTACTGAACCGGACATCTCTGTCACTAACAATGGTATTGGGCAGTCCAAAGTCACGGACCCAGTGATCCATGAACAACTTGATGCGTGCTCGGTCTTGGCAGTTTCTGGCATGGGGATTAGTCTAGCGTACTTAGTAAACCTGTCTACTATGATGAAGATGTGCTGCTTGCCACTTTTGCTGGTCTCAAAACTCAAACAAGACTCCGACTTGAGTGAGGGTTGGTCTGGATCAAGATGTGTGGAGGGACAAATATTTGCGAGGAGCTTGCATCAATTGTGGCAAGTACAACCATCAACAGTTTAGATGCAAGAACACGAAGGTCTCGCAGAAGATCCCGCCCAAAGGTGGCTTTGGAGGATCTTCCGCCCAGGGTGGAACTTCTACAAGCTCAACCCAGGGAAACATATCTGGCTAGAAGTTGTAGCTGCTTCTACTCGTGCTGAAGTGGATGGTTTACCCTCACCACTTCAGGAGTTGGCCAAAGCTACTGACTCACTTGTCACCCCACAGACGCATCTAGACCAAACAATACTCTATTCGTTAGATGTGTCTGAAACCTTGGAAGACTTAGAAACCGAGTGGTCGGCAAGCGACCCTCGTGAGTCTTGGGTGGATATATACAGAGGTCCTAGAGGGGAGCATTTCGTTGCAGAAGTCGGTGTAGGCGGCCGCAAGTGTGTGCCTTCGTAGACATTGGCTCTACCCGGAACTTCATAAGTTGCGACTGCGTTGAGAGACTACGCATAGGGGACGGGGTGCAGCGCTTGAGTAGACCTGTAGCATCTACTCTAGCCAACAAAGAGCGCATGTTGGTCAAAGACTACGTCAAGGGCGTGGTCTGCACCTTCTCCTATGGAGGTGGAGAACTTGATCATCAGATTTCGTTCGTAATTAGTGACGACTTGCCATTTGACATGCGGTTAGGTATGTACTACCTCCAGGTTGCCAAACCGGAGTTTGACTGGGACCGGAAAGTGCTCACGCATGTATTGTCTGACGGGAGGACTGTTAGACTGGCCAAGTACAAAGCTAGCAGGTTAGTTGACTCCTACGGGTGCATGTATGCATCAGCATTCTATAATTATTGCAAACAGAACCAAGAGTAGGGTATGTACTTAGTGTTTGTCTTTGAGAAAGGCGAGGTCGTTAAATCACCCCCGGAGATTGAAGTTGTCGTTGCTAAGTACCCCGCCTGTTTGAGGAGTCTACGGGAGTCGTAGACAGGGAGGTTGTCCACACCATAGAGATAATCCTAGGCAGTAAAACGCCAAAGGGTAGGATCTATAGGATGGCTCCAGCCGAGTTGGACGAGCTTTGTCAGCAACTGAAAGAGCTCACAGAGAAGGGTTGGATACGACCTAACACTTCCCCCTTCGACTCACCAGTTTTATTTGTTCAGAAGAAGGGGAGATCATTAAGGATGTGCATTGATTATAGAGGTCTCAATGCCATCACAGTTAAGAACACAGCGAGTTACAGAAGTATAAATCAAGAGGCAGCGCCCAGCCATTCATTGATTCCTGCGTAAGCCATGCGGAAGCGCTGCCATAGCGACTTGTACGAGGTGGTCTGCAGTGAGCCCGAGGACGAAGTGGGCGTGAAGGAGGTTAGCCATAGCGATAGGGTAGCAGCGGCCATAGCCGCCATAGCTATAGGTGTGTGCGGGTGTGTGCGAGTGTACAGGGTGTTGCGTGTGGGATATCCAGGGTGATCCGGTGTGTGAACAGCAGCGTTGTGTGAGTGACGAACAAAGATTTGTATAGGCGTTGATGCGCCATATCCATCTGAAGTGAGATTGTATATGAACTGTGTTCTTGGTTGTCTTATCTCTGAGTTTTGAGTGGGCGCTTGTCGCCAGTTTGCTGCGCAACCTATTTGCATGCATGTTAAGTGTGAATGAAAGCGAGTCTTATTGCACTGGTATTGGAGCTGGTACCCGCTATCCCACGCGCCACAGGGCGCCAAGTTGTAGAGCGCCGTGAAGAGGGAAGTCCGCCATAACTGCACTGCGGAGAAGTAACGTGTACCTGCGCACAAGACAACCACAAAGAGAGAGAGAGAGAGAGAGAGAGAGAGAGAGAGAGAGAGAGAGAGAGAGAGAGAGAG